GAAAGAACAATTTGACAACCGCCACCCCTCCCACCACCACCACCACTTTCAAGAGATTCAGACAGAGAAATCTGCTTCAGGAGGAGAATTTAAGATGCCAGCCTAACCCAATTGGAATTGAGTATGGTAAATAAGAGGGCTTCAGGCAGGGCCCTGTTAGCCAAATACCCCATGTCCCGTTGTTTCTGAGTCGCCTAGCAAAAATATTCCTGCCATGCACGTTCCCCTCTCCCTCAACGACCTGTAAATCGCCCATTCTCACTCTGAATCTCATACCCCATTCCCCTTTCTCCTTTGCCCGAAATGTCACATATACTCAATGTTGCCTCACTGTCTTTGAGACTTTCATGCCTGTGTGAATTCCCATGTGCATGTATTAAAACTGGCACTTTCTCCTGAAAACATCCTACACGGGCAAACACAGTAACCCAACAGTCCTCTGCATGGCAGCTATTTTCAAGTATGATTTACTGATTTTTTTAGAGAGAGAAGAAGGGAGAGAGAGAGAGAAACATCGAGGTGAGAAGCATCAGTTGGCTGCCGCCTGCACTCCCCCCACTGGGAATCGCGCCCACAACTCGGTGTGCGCCCTGACTGGGAATAGAGCAGGGACGCCTCAGCCCACGGGACGACGCTCGGTCCACTGAGCCACACCAGCCAGGCAGCAACTATTTCCAAACATGGGAAACTTCTCATCTCTGAGTAAAAATAGAGCCCAAATATCCTAAAGTCGGGGAAGAGTCGGAGGCCGAGAAAGCTGCCAAGCACAGCCATTCTGTAAATAAAGCTCTAGAGTCGGGCAGGGGATCCTGCAAAGCAATTCATCGCTGGCTCTCCTGGAGCACACTGGCATCTCTGCGCTCATCTAGAGGGAACCGAGGTGGCTTTAACTTGGGCATCCTTGCCCAGCGTAGGAGGGCTCTACCATATTGAACCCTGATGCTTCCTCCACCCCTGACCTGACTCCTTTCCTGCTGTGACTCCTGAAGGTTGCTCAGTACAGCAACCCATCCCCTTGTTGGAAAAAACTTTACCTTCCACCAGAGGAGATTCACCTCTGGCTGTCCTGCTTCAAAGCCTCAGCCAGGTGGGCTTTTCTTCCTCCTGTCCCTCCAGGTCCAAGAGGAAAATGACTATGGGTCCTTGGGTTCTGGTCCAGATTCCACCACAAGGGATATGGGCCAGCTGTGCCCCCACCTCCCAACCAAGGTCACCTTTGAAGCAAACACATCCTGCAAAGACAGAGGAACCCTTCCTCCTGTTAGCATGCCTTGGCCCTTACCCTGGAGGTACAGTAGCTCCTGTGCTGAGAAGCATTCAGCTTTTCTGTTCCCCACTTAACGCCACAGATATTCTGCACGACAGCACTAACCCCAGTGTGAGGAGGTGACCAGTCAGAAGTGAATCAGCATGGGATGCAGAGAATAATGAAGGAACCGGAAATGTAGCCAACACCAGAGAAGGAAAACCAAGGACAGACCTGAGACAGGGGCAGAAATGATGATGATGAAAAAAGCCACAGCCCTGGCCGGTTTGGCTCAGCGGTTAGAGCCTCAGCCCGTGGACCAGAGAGTCCCGGGTTTGATTCCAGCCAAGGGCACGTCCCTTGGTTGCAATTCGTCCCTGACCCCGGTTGGGGTTGTGCAGGTGGCGACCCATCAATGAGTCTCCCTCACATCGATGTTTCTCTCTCTCCCTCCCACTCTCTCTGAAGATAAATGTAAAAATATTCTTGGATGAGGATTTAAAAAAAAGAAAAAAGCCACAGCGACCTTTCATTGAACCTGACTACATCCCAGGTTCTAAGCACTTTCCACGCATTCAATCATTTAATTATTATATAGTTTAAATGTACAATCTTTTAAATGTACAAATGTCCCCCATGACGTTTCTTAACTAACAAAGAGAGAGACAATACCTTACACAGGAGAAACCCAGTGAACAAGTGAGAAGTGGCAGGAACAGGCCACACTGACATCACAAGCCCCCGGCGTAATGCACTGAAGCCACGTCGCTTTCGTGGTCTTCTCGCCAAAAACACCTAACCTCATCCTAAATGTGAGGAAAACGTCGGACAAGCCCAAACCGAAGGACATTCTACAAGGGCTACGACTCTGCAAAAGTATTAAAGTCAAGAAAGGCAAGTTAAGATTGAAAAACTGCAACAGATTGGAGGAGACCACAGAAAAAGAACTAAATGCTATAGGGGACCTTGTAAAGGGACCTGGGACAGAAAATGGACCTTAGTGAGAGAAAAAAAAAAAAAAAAGGAAATTCAAATAAGGTCTTAGTGTAGGTAATAGAATTACAGCAACGTTGATTTCCTGTTGTTGGCTGGTCTCATGTTGATTTTGAACTTTGTAATATGGTTACGTAAAATGTTAACGTCAGGGAAAGTTAGGTGGAAGTACACAGGTACTCTCGGTCCCATAACTTCCGTAAGTCAAAAATTCAAATTTTAAAATTTGAAATTATTTTAAATTTTGTTTTCTAAGTGCAAGATTCTCTAAACAAATCAATCCTATCTCAGAAGAGTCATTTATTGGCTTGGTCTACTAGCAATGAAACGTGTCCAGCCTTTGGATAAAGCAGAAAATAGTTTCCATTGTAGGCCATGTTGGTTAAGTCTGCCACAGCTGGGGTTTTTTATTGCTAACGTCGCCCTTATTTGTGGAGCAAGTGCTCAGTTGCAGGGAGAGTGCTAGCACTCATTTCCATAAGCACCTCTGCAATTTTTGGAGGTGTGGCTGACAAGACAGGCTGCCTCCTACAATGAAATGTTCCTCCCCAGCCTCGCAGCAGGGTCTCAATGGGGTTGTTCTGCATCTTCTGTTTGTCTTGTTCTTCCATCTAGGAGGACTTGGTGAGTGAGATAGTTCTCTAGCTCTCTTGACAATGCATCATAACCCCTCCTTCTGCATTCCTTCCATGGTGACTCACTTTGGGAGGCTTTTGCAACCAAATAAAGGCATTTCCCACCAACTTGAAGCCCTTCAACTTCATCCTTCAATGTTCACCATTTATTTCTCATATTGCACAATAGGAAAAATAAATGTGAAATTATTGCTATTTTGCCCACGTTTGATTATTTTGTTTCTCTCTTCTTTTGCCTCTAGTTTCTCCCATCTCACCAGCCAGGAGGACAACAGCAGATGAAAGGCTATGGAAGCCCTGGCCGGTTTGGCTCAGCGGTTGGAGCGTCGGCCTGCGGACCGGAGAGACCCGGGTTCGGTTCCTGCTAAGGGCGTGTACTTCGGTTGCAGTTTGTCCCCGGCCCTGGTTGGTCGTGCGGGTGGCAGCCACTCGATGTGTCCCTTCACGTCGATGTTTCTCTCACTCTCTCTCTCTTCCTCTCTCTCCCTCCCACTCTATCTGTACAAAAAATGGAAAAATGTCCTCGGGTGAGGATAAAAAAAAAAAAAAAAAGAAAGGCTATGGAATCTGCAGCTCTGGCCTCCTGGTTGACTGCAGCACCAGGAGGCGGGTATGCTCCTCTTCAAAGGTTCCGACAAACAAGGCAGGCAGGACATGTGCCTTGTTAGTGTGCTGGACCTTGGCACCTGTCATCTGATTCCTGGGTGTCTGCATGGTTAGGTTTCCTGCTAGGCCCCTGGAAGCCTGCCCCTCGGCTGGCTTTGTCCTGTTCCAACAAAGCTCTGTTTTTATTTTCTTCTCTCCACTCCACAAACTAGAAAATAAATTGTCCAGTGATTTATTAACACCTCATGACTGTGCACACTTTGCAATGAGGTAGGACGAGTGAAAAAAGGCATTCTAAGCCCAGTGCCTTGGGTCCTTGAACAAGAGGAGGAAGAGCCCAGAGGACCACTGACTCAAAGGAGGTGAGAGCCGGGCCTTTCTCTAATGTACAGGGAGATCTTGGACAGAGCCAGATTGAGGCTGGGAGGGCCTGGACAGCCATTTCCCGCCCATATAGGAAAATTTTGGCAGCTGAAATGGTGCTGCCTGGGCAGAGTTGGGTACCTTTAAGTGAGCCCCAAAGCCCCCTTCCCAAGGCCAACTCCCTAGCTACTGAGCTCTGCACAAAGGGCGGTGTGGGGGACAGGGCTTAGGTGATGAGCAGGAAAGAAACATATTACTTGAAGACAAGCTAGGAGAGTACTAGTCACAGGATGGTAGATTTCCAGAGCAATGAGTGAGCCCTGGCTAACACTTAGGATGCAAGTCCTTGTGGGTTACTGCTTGAGAAGATAAAAGTGCACCCCCTGATGCGGGACAGCTGTCAGGAAGCTTCACGCACCTTTGGTCCATCGCCAGGTCCCAATTAGAAAGAAGCCCTTGGAATACAACCAAATTAAAAACTTTACTTTGCTACTTCAGTGCAATCTTACAATGCACAACAGATGGGAAAAAAGCAACTGCCATAGCTCAAAGCCACCATAGTTGCTTGGGTGACAATTCCTAAACACAGAAAGTGAGAAGGGAAAAAAAGAGAAGCAGGAAATACACCTAAACAGGACTCCATTTTCAATTTAAGGGTGTGTGTAATTGAAATATAGTATTAGTGTATTATAGTGCTGTATTTCCATTATTCTAAGATACAACTTTTCACATTTTAACATCTCCGCAATTGAGGCACATCATACAATTGATATAAATCATATTGAACTGTCAGTTTTTTAGTGGCATACAAAAAAGCATTGCATCTTAAAACTAATAAATATGGTAATTCACATGCAATATGACAAGATTTGAGCGGCTCCCTAAAGATAAAAGTGCCTCATTCATGGTCTCTACCTTTGACAATGTATCATGGGTAAAAACCCATTTCTAGTGTATAGTCTGAGATCTAAAGGAAATCACAATAATAGTCTAATTTCTCAGATTTATTGGTAATGCTAATGAAATTCATCAAAATCATTTGGCAAGATGTTCCTAGCATTTAAAAAATAAAATCAATATAAAATTAAAATTAAGGGAAAACTTAATTTACCAAATAATCTTTTTTTTATCACTTTTAATAAGAACAACAGCTTTCAGATATAAATGTACTCTAAATATTAGCTCAATTACTTGCTTTTATCAAAATTTAGTATAATGGGATCATGTCCTGTCTTCTTCACAAATGTAAGAAAGTCTCCAGGGCTCAATCCCACGGTTGCTGCATTGGTCATTGGATGAAAGTACACCTTTTCATGTCCACCTTCCACAAAAGCAGAATCCAGAACAAATTTCACATCTCCATCGTCACAGAATAGTGCCAAGGGCGTGGCACAGCCTTGGCCAACTTTTAGTTTTTCTAGCATGGCTATTTCATCAGCAAACCGCAGATTTCCACTCCCAACACCTAACTGCTTGGCTAGATCATTTAAATTAACTTGTCTGTCATGAAGAACTGTCACCAGCCAGTAGCCTTTTTTCTTTGTCTTTTAGAAATAAGTCCTTACTATGTGCTCCTTTCAGGTGTTGGATATGAGGCATCATTTCTTCGACTGTAAACACCTCGGGGTGCTCCATGACCTCCGTGCGGATGGCGAGGGCGCCGGCCATGCTGCTGTCGTGGGAGAGGAAGTGCCTTTACCAAATAATCTTAACAGCTCCGCACCTGAAGCACTTTTGTTTTCCCGTTCCAAATAAGAATTTTCACTTCACCTGACATTTTTCATAAGGTAAATCACAGAGAAGTTAACTTTTGGCCCAAGTGAAGGCTTCATTCTTTTTAGTTTTTCTGAAGTGAAAATATGTCATCCTTTGCCTCGATGAATGCATTCTCCCTTTCTGCATGAGGGGGCCAAGACAACCTAAAATATTAAATATTCCAGACCACTATCAATCAGGGGTATTAAAGTAGAAGTGGTCACACTTTGGGTGACTTTCATTCTGGATTCAATTTCCAAGAGTGACTCAAAGTATTCCCCCAACTTCCTGCCCTTCTTTTCCATTCTCTCTCATCCAAAACTCAATAGAGATGGGTATAAACAGGGTCAGGGATGGAAATGAGACATTCTCGTCTCTTTCATCCTTTTCCTCTTAAGGCCTGGTTGGGTTTATGACCTTATTGGTCTTCAAACTCAAAATCAAAATGATGTGAGAGTAGCCTTGAAATAAATGCAAACGCCAGTTTCACCAAGGCCTCAATTATTGAGCAGTTTTGAAAGAATGAATTAACTGTGATGCTTATTACATTCATGAGGTGGAGGCTCAGGGGACACTCCATCTCATGGGCACCAAGAGAAGGCTTCTATGATGTAAGAATCAATGAAGACTGATGTAAGAATTGATGTAAGAATAAATGACTGAGCCCAAGCATGTGTAAAGCTCTAAAACCTAAGTATCCCTTTGCTGAAAAGCCCATGGGATCGATGAGCACCCAACATCACCAATACCAAGGACTTATGTTCCAATGATGGCACATGTCAACAGGAAGCTCACAAAAGACCCTCAGTAGCCCTCTAAACATATTTCAAAAGCTACTACATCTCTCCTTCCAGAATTCCCAAGAAGAAAAGATTAAAGAAATTCCTTTCAGAGGAAAAAATCTATTACTTGAAAATGCCTGGTCAAGTTCTATGGACACACGCAAATTGTGAACCAATTACCAGTGAAATGTTCTGAGAGCTTAATTATTCTTCTCTAAATGAATGTGGTAGTACTGCTCTCTAGATGAGTAACCATTGCAGTAGAGAGGTCAGACACCAGCACATGAAACCTTCAGAAGGACCAAGCTTGCAACAGTCTTCAAACCCAAATTAAGTATCTGTGTCCTCATAACTGCTCATACATGGCCTCAACATTCCCAGTAGGAGTAGACAGTCTGCTAAATGTTCTCACAAAACTGATCCCTTCTGTTTTCTGAGCTTCATCAAATGTCTTCTTGTTCTAAACTGACCATGAGCAAGGTCTTGTCAACATGAGTCTAGGTAAGAAACTTGAGTGGTAAAAGTTGCCTCTAGATTTTATCACTGTGGATATAAACCCCCAAATGGACATGGTTTAGGACAATTCAGGGTTTTTAAATGCTGCTCCATTTCCTAATCAAATTCTTTACACTCACTGAAAATGGAAGCATAAATACATACTCATACTCCTCTTTAAAGACTCAAGGTGGGAAAGCACTTTTAAGAATTTTAACTGTGAAGATAGATGACCAATTGAAGACAAAGTTATAGTTCAATATCACTATAATATAGTTTCTGGGGGTGGCGGGGAGAATGGCCTCCTTGGGGGAAAATGTAATCAAATACACAAAACAAAAAAAGATCATAGATTATTACACATGACAATTAAAAATACAATGACTTTATTTCTATCTTCTTACAGTCCCCAGTATCACATCAGGTAAGATTCTTCATCACTACGAACACAAAAAAATGTCAGGAAAGCATGTTATAAGACAGTATATATATAAGCAACAGTTTGGCAGAATTCTGTCAACTTAGCAATCCACAGCTCTCCAAAAAACGTACTTTAAAATTCAAAAATAACAGCTTTATTTAACATATGTTACATCTTACATTTAAAATACCATGCTCTAGTTAAATATTTTATCAACAACATTGTATACAAATAAAATATTACACAAAATATATTTAAGAAAATGTTTTGGTCATTGATCTCCATAAATAAAAACACAGGCACTTCTACACTGAGACAGGGAAGCAGTCACTCACTACTCAGAATAATTTTGTATAAGCAACATGTGAAAATATGGCAAGAATAGAATCCTGAAGTTTTAAGCTGACAAATCACTCATGAAAAGGTCTGCAACTTCAGTCTTTTCACTTACAGTTCAAAAGTTACACACGCTTTCCTGGTCCACATTAAAAAATCACAAACATAATAAGACTGCCAGGGTCAATTCAATCCTTAGTTGGCCAACATGGAATCGTACTCATTATTCTCAAATACTAAAAATTGAGAACTATTATGATGCCACCCAGCAAACCAAATACAAGAACAGTTATTATGTTCCTAACAAGATAAAGTGGATCACTCACATATCATTTTGCAAAATTAACTGATTCTATTAACACAGAAAATACTGTTGAGGTGGCAGGAAATTTCAACAGAAGTTAATGTTTCTAAGACAATTTTTAAAAATTCATCCAAATGTCATGAAAATAAATTTAATTCCTTTTCACAAAAATCACTGAATCATATATAACAAATCATTTGTAGCCAACAGATTTTAAACACCTAAATTGCAAACAATTCACTCATGATAGAAAGTAGAAATATTACCATATTAGGTCAAAACAAAAATAACTTAAAATAGTCAAATTCCAAAAACATTCTTTCGGACAAGAAGCGGGGGAAGGAGGGTATTAGAAAATAATGACCACTAGCCAGTTGGAAGAATCAGAACCAACCACCCTGCCATAGCCTCCTTTAAAAATTATGACCTGCTTTCCCTCTTCAGAAAGTACCACGTTAAAGGGTTTTGAGGCCTTCAAATAGATACTACTTATAAAGGCAATTTTGATGGTTTAACATAGAAATTACCCCTAGTGAAAGAACATAACACGGGAACTATCCAAGATATGTCTTTCTATGCAAAATTTAGTTTGTACATGTTTTAGCAATTTAAATGAGCATTTTGCAACCGAGACCAAATATCAATCATCTCTTGAGGTTTTCTGCTATGGACTAACATCAAATCTAGATAGGAACAAATGTTATTCCTCTTTTTCTCTTCTATGTCAAATGTCTTGAAGCCTTTGTGTTTCTCTGGAACGAGGCCGAGTTTCTGAAGGCACATTCCAGTATAAACATCATCAATGGGGTAGAGAAGGACCTGGTCAGTTATATTGTACAGCCTCAGAGCCAGGTTGCCGGAGTAGAGGAACCCACCTCCCCCGGCATAAGGCGGGTAGACACCAGTGTAAACAACTTCTGGGATGTAGTACTTCAGTTTCTTATCCCGATGAGGTCCAGCGTTGTGGATCACATCACCTATAAACAAATCTTTGGCTTTGTTCTTGGATAAGCTATTCAAGTAATTCAGGATATGATGGGTATTGACAAAAACATCATCATCACCCTTGAAAACAAACTCAGCGTTTGGGCAGGAAGTGCTCACCCACCTGAGAAAGAGCACTTCTTTCAAAGACAAGTTGAAGAAAGTGTCTCTGTAGTTCCACATAAGAATGTCTTGGTGCTTTTCACTCTCAAACTTCAGCATATCCGAAAGATCGGGGTGGTTGTCCTCTGGGGGGGTCTGGCCCAATAAGAAGACTCGTACCACTGTTTGGTTCCCCAAACTGGTTTCTCTGCCCCAAGATTCCCGAATTGCTTGTCTTCTAGCAAAGTGTGAAGTGAGGGACTTAATTGCCAGCAGTAAGAAGGGTTTCTTTACACACTTACCTGGCTGATCTATAAGCAGCGAATAATTTCGACATCTCAAATATAGCAGAAAGTCTTTAAACCTGTCCGGCAAATTGTTGAAACCTGAAACTACAGATGTGACCCTCAGGTCAGGTTCACAATAATTCAGATGGCTTATATTAGAAAACCCGTGCACTTCCCCTGTCTGGTTGGCCAACATGCTCAAAATGGGATTGTACCGCCTGTTCAACTTTTCTTGTTCTCGGTTCCAATATGCCAAGGGAGGGTTAGATGTCTTCCAGAACTTTTCTTTGGGTATTATCACTTCCCCCTTTCCATTTTTGTCTTGATTACTGCTTTTGGAGACTTCCACAATCAAATAAATGAAGACGTTTACCATCATCAGGATACCCAACAACTTTATTCTTCGACGTCCAACACTCATTTCTCATATCTGGAACAAAAGGGAGGAGCATTGTATTAGTTGAATAGTTACTAATTTGCATTTGCTCACATATGTTACTTACCTCCTTATCGTTACCTTCCCTGGGAGAGTGGTTTAGGGCAGATTCTAGACTTGCATGACCTGGGTACAAATCATGATGGCCCTACCATTCCAGCTGTGTGACCTTGGGCAAGTGGTATATAACTGATGTCTCAGCTTCTCCATCTGTGAAATGGAGATAATAACCCACCTCATGGGACGGGTGTGAGGGCTATATGATTTTATACGTAAAGCTTTTAGAACAGTGGCTGGCCCATAGCAAGCAGTTAACACTGTGGCTGTTTTAGACACTGGAGGGCAGAAATATGCATTTACTAAATAACCTCATGGGCGTTCCACTTCCTTGCTTACGAGGACGCATACAAATCAATATGCTGCAAACTGATTTGCTCACAATTCTCAGAACAAATACATTTTATATTGTGATCCAGTACACACATGTGTGCGCACACACAACTGTATGGGTGGAGCAAAAGTGCGTTTATAGTTGCAAGTATGCGAAACCCAGAGTTTATCCTTGCATTAATTATTGTATTATTTTTCTGTATGAACAACTGTAAACCTACTTTTGCCATGCCCTGTATTTATGTATTTCAATGTGTGCAGTTTCAAGTAATCCAAGTTTTTATTTTACTCCACTTCATTTTTTTTTTTTTTTTTTTATCCTCACCCGAGGACATTTTTTGTTCAGGTAGAGTGGGAGAGAGAGAGAGGAAGAGAGAGAGAGAGAGAGAAACATTGATGTGAAAGGGACACATCGAGTGGCTGCCACCCGCATGACCAACCAGGGCCGGGGACAAACTGCAACCAAGGTACATGCCCTTAGCGAGAACCGAACCCGGGTCTCTCGGGACCGCAGCCTGATGCTCTAACCGCTGAGCAAAACCGGACAGGGCAACTTCTTTTTTTTTTTTTATCCTCACCCGAGGATATTTTTCCATTTTTTGTACAGATAGAGTGGGAGGAAGGGAGAGAGAGAGAGAGAAACATCGACATGAAGGGACACATCGAGTGGCTGCCACCCGCACGACCAACCAGGGCCGGGGACAAACTGCAACCGAAGTACGTGCCCTTAGCGGGAACCAAACCCGGGTCTCTCCGGACCGCAGGCCGACGCTCTAACCGCTGAGCCAAACTGGCCAGGGCAACTTCTTTTTTTTTTTAATGGTGGTCCCAGCCCAGCCGGTGTGGCTTAGTGGATTGAGTGCTGTCCCATGGACTGAGAGGTCCCGGTTTGATTCCCAGTCAGGGATATGCCCAGGGTGTGGGCTTGATCCCCAGCAGGGGGTGTGCAGGAGGCAACTGATTGATGCTTCTCTCTCACATCTACGTTTGTATCTCTCTGTCCCTGAAAAAAAAAAAAAAAAAAAATCAATAACAAATAGTGGTCCCAACCCTGAATTGTTTCTCAACCTACCATTTCACAGATTAGAAAACAAGGATGGAGAGATTAAGACGTTTGCCCAGGGTTGAAGGGATAGGAGGTGGAGTCACTAACCACACTGTGTTCAGAAAGCTACAATGAAAATAGTCACACCAGCTTTATCCTAATATCCAAACACTGAGAACCCAAATGCCATCAACAGAAAGACATAGTATCAAATTGCAATATATTCATATAATGGAATAACCCCCAGCAATAAAAAGGAAACCATTGCTACTAGCAACAAGACTACAGTATGAGTAAAAGATAGATTCCATTTATGTTAGGTTCAAGATGGCAAAATTAGTCTAGTCCTAGACATGTGAAGGTGACAGAGGTGGAAAGGGGCAGGAGGGAATGTTCTAGAGCACAGTACTATGCATGTCTTGATAGGAATGAGAATTTCATGGGTGTATACCTTTGTCAAAACTCAGAGTGTATACTTAAGATCTCTGCTCTTTACAGCAAAAAGGAAAAGAGAAATGAAAATTACATTTTAGCCTGATTGGTGTGGCTCAGTGGTTGAGCACTGACCTGTGCACCAAGAAGTCATGGGTTCAATTCCCGGTCAGGGCACATGTCCAGGTTTCAGGCTTGATCCTCAGTATGGAGCATGCAGGAGGTAGCTGATTGATGTTTCTCTCTTATTGATGTTTTTATCCCTCTCTCCCTCTCCCTAACTCTCTAAAAATTAATTTAAAAAATTTTTTTTAAATGGTATTTTAGTGAAATGTCAAAAGTCAAGAACAGATTTCAGTCTATGGCAATAGAAGAACAAAGAAAGAGTAATGACATAGTTTGCTGGGGATATAACTCCAGAGTTCTAACACTATTGAGATGGATGACCTACACAAGAACAGCCACTTAGATAAGCTTGACATTAAAAGACAACCTAGCTCCCGCTGATTTGGCTCAGCGGTTAGCATGTTGGCCCTCAGACCAAAGGGTCTCAAGTTCAGTTTCTAGTCAAGGACATATATCTGGGCTGCAGATTTGATTCCTGGCCCATTGGGGTCATGTGGGAGGCAACCAATTAATCTCTCTCTCTCTCTTTCCTTTCCTCCCTTCAACTCTCTCTGAAAATCAATGGAAAAACATCCTTAGGTAAGGATTAAAAAGAAAAACAATTTAAAAACCCCAAAAAGTGGAATGGCAATATACTGTAAAATTTTTTTCTTTTCAGATTAATTCTATGACTGAGACTTCATCCTTAGAAATGAATCCCAAAGTAGTATTGCATCCCAAGCACTGAGCATTATCCTACTTGATACAGTGAGCCTACGGAGTAAGTATGTTAATTTTATTCACATTTTACACGTGAGGAAACAGATTTATTTATTTTTTTTTAAGTTTTTATTTTATTTATTTTTATTTTTTTGGTATGTGCCCCTAGCGGGAACCGAACCCGGGATTCTCTGGTCCACAGGCCGATGCTCCAACCGCTGAGCCAAACCGGCCAGGGCGAGGAAACAGATTTAAAGAGGTAACTGTTAGGGGCAGAGCTGGAACTCCAGCCAAAGCAATGGGGTACCAAGGCCACCGTGTCAAATGGTCACCACTCTTCTCCAACCTCCAGAACAAAGGTGTCTGACTACTTTTCAATCAAGAGTAGTGTTTACTTTTTTTTTTTAATGTAAGAGGATATTTAAGTTCACTGGATTCTAATAAATAGTCCCAAGGTAAAAGTATTTGTCATGCTGAGAATGCTGTGAAGTTATTACATGTTGGACAGCCCAGATTAATTAATTGGAATTCCCAAGCTATTTTGTGTCTCCTACAGTCTGTTTAGTAGATCCTAATCTTATTGCTTGTTTGTACTTACCACTGCTAAATAGCTTTACTTATAGACATACAAGTAAAAGGTGTTTTTTTTAAAACAAACCCCTACCTCATGCCTCTACTCGCCCAAAGCCTTTCTGCACGTTTAGAGAGCATGACAGATGATAAAGTCATCTGGGTGCCCTCAACTTCCCACTACCTCCCACTTCCTCCCTCACTTCTCCGCCACTACCCACTTCCACCCCAAGATTCCACCACTGAGCTACCAAGAAAGGGCCTTCCTAAACTTCCTGCAAAGAAGGCAGTACAAAACCACAAGACACTTCTTACTCCTTAATTACAGTTTTAAAGGACCCCAAGTCACACACCACCTGAATAATTCAAAACGTTCACACCTAGGTCAAGGGTCGTTCACACCTAGGTCAAGGGTCCACACGTTAGGTCAGTTCCTTTCCAACAAACTCTTCTGGGCAAACCTTATGATTAAACTGAAGGTCCAAGTCCATTACATCTTTAGCAACCTAAACCTCTTTGCTTTGGGCCTTCCTCACAAAGACGAGAGAGCTCAAATGGACACTTAGAATGTACCTGCAGAAGTATTTCTGATAGTTAAAAGCATCAGTCATCTCGTTAGAAAAGGAATCATTGGTCGTTTTTGGCTTTTTCTTATTTTTGGCTTCCAGATTTGGACTAAACACTTTTCAGAAACAAACACTTCTCTCTAAATTGGGATAAATCTCCCAAAGCTAAAGTAGCACTTGACCCAGTTACCTCCAGTCTCTAGGTCTTGGCCCTTCGTGTAAACAGGCTGAAAGAAGCGCAGTGAGGCAAGTATGAGGTGAACAGAGAAGGACCACAGTGCGGAAAGATTCGGAAGGGAACTCAGGAAAAAACAGCATACACTAGGAACAGCTAACTACTATGCAGAAACTTCACTTCAGAACAGCAATTATGAGTATCAACAGACTATTCCTGAAATTCTAGAGTAAAAAAAAAAGGATAGCTTAAGGGAAAAATAGGGAATCACAGTACTTTACTAAGGTAATTTTCCTAGGAAAAGATTCAAGGTGAAGAATATGTGAGATGATTCTAGAGAAACTAGTCAACTGTGCATCCTGGTTATGTTATGGGGCAGGCCATGGACATCTGGATCCAGCCAGAACCATCTGAAGAGATGGTTTGAAGTTTCTATCCCAGAAAGCACAGATCCTTCTTTTGAAATATTCTGAGGAATACATTGAGCTCACTGACTCCAGCCACGATTTCCAACTTTATTTCCACAACGAAGACCCAGCCAGGACCTCCCATCACCGCAGCTAAGACAGGCCCCTGTAGCTGTAAAAGAAACACCACCCTCACCTTCTGTTTGCTCAAGGATTATAGTCTGCAGAGCACTGTCCTGCCCATTTCTCATTTGCATCCCCTAGGGGAAGGTGAAAGAATAGCACTTTACCAGAGAGAAAAACGGAGGCTCAGAGTGGCAGTTACTGAGCTGCCTACATGTTCTGTAAGAGCTAAGTCACAAGGCTGAGATGGCTCAGCTTCCTGGCCCCCAATCCAGGGCTTGCTGGATCTACTCCTTTTTCTACAAGGCAAGTCCAGGTCAACAGTGAAGGCACTGGTCTAGGTCAACAATGAAGTCTCAAGGGCTGGCTCAGGACTGAAAAGATCCAAGGCACAGGGTCATGGCACATTTGATGTTACCAAGACTCTCCAAAGAAAGGGAAATGGGACTGCCTAGAAGCTC